ACGAGGTCTGCTGCACGAAGCTGCCATACTGCCAGTTTTGCTGGTGCTGGGGGTTTTGCTGCTGGAAGTGCTGATTGTAGCTGTAGGGCTGGCTGAAGGGCTGACTGAACTGCAGCCTGAAGGGCTGGGGCCAAGGCTGGGAAGCTGCGCAGGTTGGGGGTGCTGACACGGCGTGAGCTGGTCTGGCCCATGACGCGGATGGCTGTTCACTGTCACCAGGCTGGCGGCGCCGGCCCTGGCGCACTATGTCAAAGATCAGCTCCTTCATCTCCGTACTGGTCCTGGGGAGCTGTACGCAGGGTGTCAGCAACAAACCGTACGAAGGGCTCACGGTCAGACTGGGGCCTCTCCTCCACAAGCTTCTCCAGGAGGGCTTGGTTGGCCTGCATCGTGGCGCGGAGGTCTCGCATCCAGGTGTCTTCCTCATCCTGGCACTCTTCCTCCCTCCACTTCTTGTCACGCTTGCGGCTGCGGCTGGACGTGGACGTGGGCTGAGGTGTAAAGTCCTGGTCAACAGCTGCGGACTCGATGTCCTCGAGGACGTGAGCTTGGCTGTCAACGTCAGAGTCCACTGAGGGGGGTGGACGCGAGACCGTGGACGTGGCAGCGGCAGAGGCAGTAGGAACCCGGGCCAGAGTGATGAGGGGATCTCCGGTGTCACTGGGGATGGAACCTGAAAGGTTTAAAAACGTTTATTTAGTTATATGTTATAACGCATTGACATTTTGTTATTTAGTTATATGGCATTGACATTTTGCATGTAAAAGCATTTCATACATTCAAATGTCAAATGAAATTGACAAATGCAATGAAATTCAAAACACAGTTGAAATCAATGTAATTAAATGTACTGACCTTTGTAGAAGCCACAGTGCTGCCGGACCCAGGTCTCCCTCTCTGTGAGCATCTTGGTCGCCTGGCCACTGGTCTTCTTGGAGAGCTTCACATACCAGTCCTTTATTCCTTTCCACCACTGCTCTAGGTGCTCCACATTGATCCCCAGCTCTTGGGCCTTCATCTCCCAAGCAGCCCTCTTCTGCTTGTAGCCCTTCTTGCTGCGCATCCAGAGGTAGGAGTTGCCCTTCAGCCACTCGAGAACGTCCTCCTCTATAGCAGCGTCAAGGCTCCAGTCCTTCTTGGGGGCCTTGCGGGCAGTCTTCTTACCCTTGCAATGTCCACGACCACGACCCTTGCCTACGAGCACTGGCTCTTCCTCCTCGTCCTGAGCAGCTTGGGGGGGGGGGGGGGGGGGGGGGGGAGAGAGAGAGGAGAAGGAGGCCTCACTGCGTTTCTCCCTCCTCAAGGGCTGGGGGGCTGACTTCTCCAAGGTCTATGGGTGCCTCAGGGGCAGCAGCAGGGGTGGCAGGAGGGGTGGTGGCAGCAGAGGAGGTGGCAAGAGGGGTGGCGGCAGCAGTGGGGGTGGCAGGAGGGGGGGCAGGAGGGGTGGCGGCAGGGGGGGCGGCAGGGGTAGTACCTGTACATGAAAAATAAATTTATTTAGTGACAATTTATTTAGTGACATGCTTCTAATTTTCATTTCTAAATTGAAATTCAAAATTGAAATTTGAAAGCAACAAAATTTGCAAATGAAAAAAACAGTAAATTGAATAAAATTAAATGTACTGACCATCAGCAGCAGCCTCAGCTTCTCCAGGAGCAACTTGACCAGCATCAGCCTCAGGGTCAGGGTCTGGACTGGCAGCACCAGCAGGAGGAGCATGGACCTGGGCCTTGACTGTCACCTGGGCCTGTGATTCTTGACGAGCCTCATCCTAAGCTGGGGCCTTGGTCTTGGCCTTGATCTTCGTCGGCCTCTTCTTGGCAGTGGAACCATTCTTCCTGGGCATCATTGAAACAGAAAACAGCGAACAAACTTGCGTGGAGGTGTGGACTGTAGAAGATCTGGATCGGCAACTGTGCTTTTATGCGCAGCAAGCTGTGCTACCGACGTCGCCGAGCCGCGGTTACCCGTGATTTGGCAGTGTTATGGCAGTGGAGTGCCCGTTTTACGTCCGCGCTGAACACGTGATCAGCAGTGCTACAGACGCGATGAGGCCTCGGTTAGCCGTGTTAACTTGCCACTTTTTTCCGCGTTTAAACACGTGCGAACCTATTTTTAACCTTACACGTGGCTGGACGTGGTTAGCTGTGCTAAGACTGTGCTTAGGCAGTGCTTTAGCAGTGGAACAGCCGCCGACGGCCATTCCCGTACAAAGCACGGCCCCAAGCCAGAATTGACCAAAAATTACCACTTACGACCACGTCCACCAGATTTTC